TTTTATTTTATTTTATTTTATTTTATTTTATTTTATTTTATTTTATTTTTTGTTTAGATAAATCTGTCCACTCTTAGGAAATCCCTACTGTCCTGAACTCTATGTCCCAAGCACAGGTGCCCGGCCCTCCCCTAGCCACCTCCCGTCTCCTGTCCTGACAAAAATGGCTGAAAGAGGAACAGGCTTGCTTTGAACTACAGTTGAGAGGGACAGTCCTCAAGGTGGGGAAGACATAACTCCAGGCAGGAAGGGGTGGCCATGGGAGCAGGAAGCTGGCTGGTCACATTTTCATCCGTACACAGAAGAGAGAGAACTGCCAGTGGGGTGAGGCCTGAGGCTTCCCCAGCCCCTGGGACTTATGGCCTCCAGCACGGTCCCTACCTCCTAATGGCTCTACAGCCCTTCCGGATCTCACCATCAGCAAATGTTCCAGCATCTGAACCAACAGGGGAGGCTTCACATTCAAACCATGGCACCCACCGAGCATCCCTCAGCATCTGGCTTATCTATTCTTGGCCCCACGCCTTCCTCCCCATTTCTCCAAAACCATTTTGACTGAACTACATACCAGTACCTTCTCCTTCTCCGTCATCTGAAGCCCTAAGTGTAAACTAGCTACACTTGGGGAGTAAATAGCTGACCCCTGTAGGTGGGCAAAGCAGACATTTTACCAAAGCTGGTGCGCCAGGGAGTAGGAATTTCCTGAGTCACAAGTTCTTCTTGCTGTCTGGAAACCACTTCTCATTCAGGTCACAAACAAGGCTATGGGTTGAGGGGGAAATGGTGTAAGAAAATGGTGCAAACAGCAAGACCTTGTACTGTGGTCATCAGTCACCGGCCCAGGAAGCAGATGTCTACCCTCCCGGGGCCTCCCCCAAGCTATTCTCCACATAATGCGCCTCATTTGTATTCAGAATGAAAAATTCAGCTAAACAATTTACTTAATTGAGTTACTGTTTATAATGGTATAATATATTTTTTAAAAATCTCTTAAAAGATAAACACGGAATTTTTCTCCTGCAGACATCCTGGCAGCAGGCGCTGCCTCCCCAAGACTCTGCCTCTCAGTCCCTTTAGCAGCATTTGGCCACCCAGACGCTGCCTTGCTTCACTTGGTCCAAGCCATGCACTAGCAGAATGATGTATCTGAACAGGCATTTCCCGAAAACGTTCCGAATGAATCCCTGGCCACCTTAGTGGTCCAGTGCATCGTTTGGATGAGTTCTTTATTCAGCATCCATTCCATTCACTCGTTCATCCCTCGAACGCCTGATGTGTTAGGTACGGTCTCAGTCCACTGTTTGTTTCTATAATAAAATAGCTGAGACTCGGTGAGTTATGAAGAAGGGTAGACTTCAGCTCTTTGTTTTGGAGGCCAGGAAGAGCGTGGTGCAGCACCCCCCAGCTTCTAGCAGAACCTAAAGGAGGTAAAAGTAGGTAAAAGAGACAAGATGGGGCCCTTTATCAGTGACATCACTGCCATGGCAGTAAGGGAAGGGAGGGAAGGTTGGTTTTGGCTTACAGCTGGAGAATGCAGTCCATCACAGTGGGGAAGGCAAGGCAGCAGGAGAGTGAGGCAGGCGTGTGACCACAACCAGGACACAGAAAGAGATGAAGGAAACTGTGCCCAGCTTCCATTCCTTTTCAGTGAGTCTAGGACCCCAGCCTTGGGATAGCGCTGCCCACATTCAGGGCAGGTCTTCTTTTCCTCTCTCTCT